GTCCATGGAAGGCGGGTGCGGTTGATGGATGGCGCCCAGGGAGAACCTCAGTTGCTCGTCTGCGGGAGCCGAACCACAGCCAATCTTGCACAAATGGCATAAGTACCATGCCAGGATAGGTCTCTGTCTCGCCAGTTTCACATGGGCCATGCATGTTGAAGGATGGTGACCTCAATGCTCACTATCTGATGGAAGAGTGAACACCCTGCAACCCCTTTGGCTGACGCGTGGGAGCCATTGGGTGTGTGTTGTGCCTCCCTGGTGGGAGGGAAATCAGCACGTCGTTGGCAGTCCTTTCGTTGCAATGCCTTCCACTGCCACACTCAAGATAAGCCTCTGCTTTTCGTATGTGCAGTCAGTAGTATGGATTGTGCTACGGAGAGGGAATTTTCCACGGCTTGCCATGCTTTGTAACTGATGACTCTTTGGCAACTGCTGACTTTGCTCTCGGTGCCTCGTATGATGTCAAAATACTTCGAGTGCCAACCATCAAAAGTGGCTTGGATGACCTCATCCTTGCCAACGGAGTGAGGCCACCTTTGATTGGCCGATCAGAGCAACCACCCACGATCAGCAGCGTTTTCCTGTCTCACTTCAGTACAGAGGAATCACTGCCCACATCTTTGGTGGTGGCTTTTGTTTTCTGTTTTGGTTTTGGGTTTTGGGGTTTTGTTGGGTGTTTGGTGTTGGCGTTTTCGGGTTGTTTCCCCCATCAATATGCAGTGTTTCCTATCCTTCTATGATGACCTGGGCACACCGCCCACATGGCGTCCGCACTCGTGGAATAAATCTTCGTTCGTGCAGTCTTTTATGGGGGTTGTGCCTCTGAGAGGTTGTTTTCCAAGGCCAGCAAAGCATTGCAACTGATGACCTTTGGCGATCGTCATCCTTTGTGCTGCAACTTTCGCACCAGCTTATTATGTGCCTGTGACCGAGGCTGGCAAGGATGACAACCTTGCCTGTACACGAAGGCCACCTTTGATTGGCCTGCATGGACAACCGCCTGCGTCCAGGTTTGACATTGTGTTGTTGTCTCCCCCACCAATATGCAGAGTTTCCAATCCTTCTGTGATGACCTGGGCACACCGCCCACATGGCGTCCGTGCTCGTGGAAAAAAAAGCACGGCTTTGGGGCATCTTGGACAGGTGTCACTCTGGCAGTGCCATCTATTGTGACCTGCTTCCACGCATTGACGAACTACCAGATTGAAGCGGGGTCGCAAGAAAAGTCTTCAAGCAGGGTCGTGACCCATTCGGAAGAATTTCGGGCCATCCCATCCCAAAAGGGCTCGCCAGCGTGAGGCCGAAAAGACCACCACGCCAAAGTCAGGCAGTCAGCCAGAGAGGACTGAGGACAGAGCGCCAACGCTCTGCCAACACGGCCAAAGGGGCAGCAGGGCAACGGCAATCATGCATTGGGCCGTGTGAACGGGAAGGATTCGGTCCAGAGGAGCTGAAATCTGTGAAATCGGAAGTGATCTCAGAAGCGCCTCAGAAGAAGGAAGAGTCCAAGAAGAAGGAAAAGAAGAGGGAAGAGAAGAAAGATCCAACGGATGAACCTATGGGACCGCCGCCGCGTCCAGTACGACGAGCTGTACCAGGCCGAGACCGGACCACGCATCCATTGCAAACATCAGGAGGACCGCCACCGCCGCCGCCTCCAACGACACCGACTGCGCCAGCAGCAGCTCCCATTCAGCCGCTGTTGACACAGGCGCTGTTGACGAGTGCGGTACCAGCAGTGCCAGTGCCGCCCACAACAGCAGCTCATGAGACTCAGGTATGTCTTGCTTGTCTGGGAGCGGGCAGCGTCACACCGATGACCAATGATCGGCGCATGAGTTTTCTCACGAGTTTGAGGAATTGTCGGGAGCCAGCCAGCTGCAGTCTGCAACAGTCCCGTCAAAGTCTTCAGCAATCACATACACACATGGAAAAGACATGGTTTTTGCCGAACTCTGTTGTGGTCGAGATTCATGTCTGAGGCAGGCTTGTATGGAGGTAGGTGTGTCTTGTATTGGATGCCATGATTGTCTTCAGGAAAAGTCAGTTCAGATGGAAATCATTGAACTTCTGTCTTCTGTCTGGGACGCAGGATCCAGCCAGAGGTCCGCCGTCGATTTGAGCTTGGCCAGTGTGGAACCAAGATACATATTCACATTTCTCATGGAGAAACATGTCGAGATCTTTGAAGAACTAGCCAACTCAGTCGATTGTCTTTTGAAGAAGGTTGTGGAGGTTCATGGTCAGGTTTCCAAGAGCCTAGAACTACCAGCAAACAATCAGTACTGGAAGTCGGAAGTCTTGAAAAAGGTCTTGTCGAACCAACATCTAGAGTTTGAAGGCATCGTGAACGCATGTTCAATGAAGATGTTTACCAAAGATCAACAACCAGTTGGAAAGAGGTTCAGGTTTATGTCAAATAGAGAGGAGGTTGCAAACAGGTTAGCGGAAAGGTTCAATTGTCAGTGCATTGTCGAGCATGCAGCTTTCAACAATGTCAATTGGACAGAGACGGAACGATACACCCGTGTGTTCGCTCGATACTTCGTTCGGGTTCTAAGGAATGAGGCTGGACATGCATGAGCGGATGCTGCCGGATTTGAGATAGGTCCGAGATGGATCTTACACCATGATGGGTGTTTTCTCTTTTTGCAGCACAGCTTCTTCGATCGTCGCGAAAAGAGACTTTTGTCTGAGTTTTCGAGGTTTTCTTTGAGAAGAGCGTCGAATGTAGAATGTCAGAGGAATATTAGATAGATTTTGATGAGTCTGAGAGTCTGAGGTTTTCGAGGTCGGTCGAATGTCTCTTGAAGAGAAGATCGGAACCGGAGATCAGAAGGTCTTATTGGCAAAGCCATGGAGGTCTGGAGATTCAGAGTAATTGCAATTTCTATTCTATTCTGTTTTGTGTGTGGTTCAAGCTCGCTGTGCTTGCTGTGCTAGCTGACTGCTTGTATCCGCAGCTATTTGTGCGCGCGTTCGCGTTTTCGTCGCCGTTCATGGAGGCAGCCGTGATTACTGCTTATGTGGATGGGCGAGAGTTTGAGATTCTATGTATTCTCATTTTCGCGAGTGGCATATTCGTTGGAGGAATTCTGACGAAGCTATGTTGCCGTTCAGTGCAGGTGATTGTTGATTCGAGGAATCAGCTTGAGTCAATGGGAAGGAGGAGTACAAGAGATGTGAGCGTTGAAGTGAACGATATTGTCCCGCCAGTGTTCGCAGATTGGCTCGATATGCATGATTCATACTATCGAACTGAGAAGGGAACAGTGTTGCACCTGACACCGTTCTGCAGCTATGCCCAAGGCCGTGCTTTGTCTCGCTTTCATTTATGCAAGAAGTGTTTGAAGACGAGGCGTGAGGAGAATCCCAAGCAGCAGAATGATGTTGACACTTGACCTCGAAAGGGGGTGTGAAAGTGTATGGCCGTGCTACACTAGTGGCGAGGTCAGTTTACAACGAACTGTGTGCAGAACAACTGTTTTGAGAACAGTAGCGTTCATGCCTAAGTGCTTTGTGAAGCCCTAGCTGTGAGGCTTTGCATTTCCAATGTTTGAGCAAGCGTTCGTTGCAGGAACTTTGTGTTTCGAGAGCAGAGCTCATGGAATGTACAATGTTTGGAATCTTTGTGAACACAAGTCTTTGTAGCTTTTGTAGTGTGAATGTTTCTTGAACAGTTTTGTGCATGTTTGAGTGCGCTTAAACTCGACACTTTCAGTGTCTCGCATGGGAATAGCTTGTATGCAGGAATACCTCATAGCCTTTTGTACTTTACTTTGGCTCAAGGCCCAGAGAGTGCGCGTAAAAGGTGTGCGAGTGCTTTCGCGTTGCTTGTGAGCTGTTGCACGTGCTTTCGCTTTGTGTGTAGGACGTTTGTAACCTACTTACTTAAGGTACTAGTTTTTTCAGGGACCCTCTCAATCTGTACGGTTTCGTGTCGCTTGGTCGAGCCATGAAACTATTGAGGTCGAAAGGATCACGGGAAACCCAGGCGATAGGTCGCCATGGGTAAGATCCCGAAACCATCATGCACCCAAACGCTGCTGGCAACACGAAGTAAAAGAATGCACATACCTGAAACGTGCAAACTGCTGCGAGACATCGTAGAGCAGGAACGATTGTGAATGTCTTGGGGTGGATGGTTGGGGTTTTGCGATGAAACGAGCGTGCAGTTTTCGCTCAAGTGTGAGTGAGTCAGTGTGAGTTGTTGTTGGCTTGAAAGGTTTCAAGAATGGGAAGTGAATTTTGGAGTTCCAAATCTATTTTGAGAATGTGTTGTGAACTTGAAGACCCACGGGAAGTGTAATTCACCGTAAGGTCTGCCACCGACTCACGAAACCCTTGTGCATTGCCCACCTGTTTCCTCCTTGTCGCTGGTCATCCTGCTGTCCATGAGGTGCCTGGTGGACCTCAAGGCTTGCCCTGTCTCGGACTGACCGGCTCCGCCATGGCTTCGCACCTGTGTGTGACTTCATCCCCCGCCATGTGAAAACAGCGCAGCAGACCCTTGCTCCCACTCACACAAAATCATCTCCATCGCTGCAACACAGAACGGCTGTCCCAGAAGTTGCCATGTCCCTTTTTTTCGACCATCTTCCACTCCTTCAAGAAACCCTCAGACTGCTGCCAATGTGGTTTTTGTGTGCGTGTGGTGAGTTTTGGAGTAAAGCGGTCCTGCACCATTGAGGCTGCCATCTCCAGGCTGATTGAAGAAACATGAAGAAACACAATTTACCTCACCTGTTTGCACAGACTTGCACTGGTGAGTCCCGCTGGCAACTAGAGCAGTGTATGGCAGAAATGAAATGCTCAGCTTTTGATGAGATGATTGCGGCTCAAAAATCTTTCACTGTGGAGGGTTGATCAGGACATATGTCTTGACCATGCATTTAATAAACAGATTTGCATTTTGAATGAAATTTGGTTTTTGATTGTGACAAAGGAATTTTCATGAATGATTCAGTGGGCGGCGTTGCGAATCGTTTCCATGGCGAATGAGCAGCTCCATTGTGAATGTTTCGCATCATGGCGGCAACAGAGCCAACCAGCATTCTCTTCAGAATTGTGTCTCATTTGAGGATTTCCCCACAAGTGGCGCGAGCGCTTATATTTAATTGGAGTGCATGGATATCTTCACGGCACGACACAGCAGATAGCTGCAACCTCAGTTGAGACACAAGACAGTCAGTCAGATTGTGTTTCCTTCACGATTGTGAGGCGCGTGGGAGGCTGACTGCCGGAATGTCTCTGTAGAGGTTGAGAAAAACCACAGTGTAGCCTAGAACCCAGCTTTCAAACTGCACAAAGCAGTGATTGCGTTTGGCATCTTTTTCTATTTGCGGTGTCAGGTAGATGTATTGCGTCTAACGGGCTGGGAATATCTATGGCCCAGGCTTGTCGCTCACATTGGATGTCCACAGAATACACCGTGAAACAAAGAACCTGTGGAGGTGGCGCAATGTTGGCAGATGGCAGCCACTTGCATCTGAAACATTTGCACAGGAGGCGGGACGTTTCTTCAGCATTTGTTGCACAAACTGCTAATTGAATGTCTTCTTGATTAGGCGAAGGCAACCTTCAAGTACGTTGACCAATTGCAACAGGAGGATGAATTGCATGGGTGTGAAGCTGTGTGTCAGCAGGATTTTTAGGCTGGCAAATACTGCACATAAGTACGGCACAAACATTACATATCATTACATATTTTGCACTGCTTGAGGATGATTTGATCTCCAAGCCCGAGTTCAAACTTGCATTCAGTCTGGCAGCAACAGACCTAATCTTAGTTTCCTGCAACTCTCCCATGCAAGTTGAAGTGAAACACTGAGTGCTGGAGGAACTCTCAATCTTTCCATTTTGTGTGTGTCGCGCTCAGTCCATTTGTTCAAACTGCTCGAGACAAACATGACGCAGCATGCTTTATGACATTATGAGGTCTTTGCATGATCGCTTTTGGAACAACAGCCAAGCCTGGGCTGTCACCTCAGCAATTTATGGTGTCTTCTTCTATTGTCATGTCACATACATCTCGTGGTTCTTCGCTTAAGTTTCTGCCTTGCCATACCTTGCCCACATTCATTTTGTGTTTGTTGGTTTGGTTTTCACGGTTGCACGTGGCGATGTGACCAAGGTAACTTAAAGATGCTACTATATGCTACTCTTTTCTGTGGCTTTCCGCTTTGCACCATGCTGTGTTCAATCGAGGCTTTAACAGCTGGCGCCACTGACGCCATGAACCGATCAAGGTGAGAATGAGTTAACTGATTGAAAACCAGAAAGATCATGGCGCCAAATCTTTTCTTTAGTGCGAGAGGAAGCAGCTTCCTTGAAGAAGAAGCGTGAGCTATTTTGCGTCCAATTACTATTTGTAGCTTCTCAGTAGCTAGGCTAGGAGCGAACAAGTTTGTCCCTTAGGGCGGGCAAACAAAGAAAGACACAGAGTCACAACAGGTGTGGACTCCTCAGGGCCGCTGTTTTTGGATTCACGGGGTCCTCATGGCGTTCGCTTTCCCTCTTTTCCCTTGCAGCTTCATGACGGCTTGTGGAAAAGCTCATTGTCTTTTGATGTCAGGTGGGACTTGGTTTGGTCGCGATACGTTCCACCTTTGGACTTCTCGCCGCTTACTTGGGAATGGAAGCACATCAAATTGTTAGAACAACGGCTGCAATAGACACGAGATTCTTGGGGCGGTTAAGCTATGTGCTAGGAAACCCTCCAGTGATTCTGCTTTCCACTACCTTGATGCTGATGCAGATGACAGCATTAGCAAGCTTGCATCTGAGCTTATTGTCTCTCAGCAAGTTCTCTTCTTTTTGGGACTGCTTGCAGTGCCGAAGCATCAAGGCAAGAATTTGAATCCCTATTCAAACTTTGTGTCGACCTTGGAATATATGGATTTCAATTTGACAAGTCACAAAATGTAGCCAGTAGCAGGATTTGCATATTTCAAGGTCACAACACTCCTACTTCTAGCACGTTCAGATCAACTTCAAGCAGTTGGCTTAGCACAAGCTACGTATGACCTCGCTTGTTTTGTGTGCATCCAATCGATTTGATGAGGCGCTCCTACCTCCCCTACTACATCCAGCAGAATTACCACAATGACTACATTGTCCACATCAACATTGACCACATTCACAACACCAGTCTCGTCGACAACGTTGCTTTCCTCTACTGCGTTAACAACGCGAACAACATCTAGTGGATCAAGTTCATGGACAAGCTTGGCTTCAACCACTACGTCCTCAAGATTGTCGCAACTGACGACTATCTCAACGCGTACTGCCACATCCACATATGCTTCAGCTGTGGTGTTGCCTGCTAAACATGCACGGAGCTCATGGTAGATTCATCCTGCTTTCGAATGTGAGTGTGAAGCACACTAGAGCTTCAAGGTGCATACCCATTGCTGCTATGAAGTGCTTTGTGCCCAGACACTTGTGAGTGCCGCAATACAATATTTTAGGTGGAAGGGTAAGCACTGTACACATATATGTAGCAGTTCTTAGGTCGGCTCAATGCTTGTCATGCATTGCTGGAATTACCGTAGAGGAGCGCACCATAATGTGTTTGCGTCACGAGTTTGCTGTGTGTCTTTGGTACTTGGTGCTGGGGATGAATTGACTTGCCGCTAGTTGATATGAGAGGAGCTTTGCTCCAGAGATTCAATGAGTCTCACACCAGGCTGCCAGGCAGGGAAGTTATTTGTTGAACCCGAGGCAAGCTTGAAGACTCTGCATTTTACAAGCTACACCAAGATGTCTTATCACTGCTTGTTTTCAACCTCAGGGCGCGCCAGTGGTGATTGCGCAGGCTGGTAAAAACCAACAGCAGAATGTGAAGCATTGCCAAGCAGATTTATTTTTGCTTTGAATCAGGTCAGTTGTAGCAGGGCAGATGCTTCATTGGCACGACTTCATGATCGTTCCCAATCAACACTGATCGATTGCCAGCTGATCAAGCTAACAGCTAATACCAGAGTTTTAATTAGTCTGTCTTCTTGCAGGACCTGAGTGTTTACAGGATGTTCAAGTTTGTTGCTGCATTCCAAAAGAGCAAGGACATTGTATTGCTATCGATTCTTGGATCACGTTGTCCTCCTTTGTTGACGTGTGCCCGTGAATGTGCTCTTAAAGAGGGTGTCACCAGTCAACCAGACAAGAGGTCCAATCGACTACAGAAATGGGCGGTATCCGAGAGTGAAGGAGAAAGAGAAGGGGAAGGAGCTTGCCCTGCAAGTTTGGTGCATTTTATGCGCCTTTTCGCGGCTGCTCAAAGGTGACTGATCATTTTGGAAGATTGGGTGCCTGCTAAGTGATACGTCGACACTGTCACGTGCAAAGTGGTTGACTTGACTTTGGCTATGACCAGTCGAGTACCACCTTTGGAATCCTCCTAATGCATGTGGAACTTTGTGCTGTCAACCGTCTCTCGTCGCCGCGTCCTCATAGGGGCATGGCTGCTCTCAGACTGCCTTGAGTACCGCTGCCGTTGTGCAACCAAGTTCCAAGAGAAGGATCCACACTGGGCTCACTCAGTTCGATGTCCAACCGGGTTGAGTGTGGGTTGGCTCCCAACTTGGAGATTGACAGTCATCCAGCAACCAATCTGATCAAGGTGATTCGCTTTTTCATTATTGTGCCCTGCTTGGATTGCTTTTGGCTGTCAAAGGTACACTTGAAGCTTACACCAACCTTCATTGTTAATGTGCTTTATTCCATTTAGCCCCGCATTGTGCGGACTTGTAGATTGCAGAACATGCGGATTCTTCAAGATCTTCGTATGTTCTGTCACTGCTGACGTGTCTACAGTGTGACGCGACTACTTTTGTCAGGCTGCGCCGGGTGGCCCCCACGCCAATGCCGAAGTCAGCACAACTTTGCCACCCCACTACAAGGAGGTCCAAGAACGTTTGCTTGACAAGGTTGATATGCTTAGCATCAGCATGTGAAGACGGTTGTGTCAGTTATATATAGAAGTTATGGCCCATGGAATTTGTGACCAAGTCCATTTGGAATTTGGCAGTCCCGGTCCCATTGGCCACAGTTGTAGTTCCTCAAAGCAACTAGTAGCTTCTTGTTACTAATAGCGGCATAGCGATGCCAGGAGCTGCTAGTAGCGTCCTGGCTCCTAGTAGCGATGCCCTTTGTTACTAGTAGTTTCTTGTGACTATGCAGGTTCGAGAAGATCCGACAAATCACGTCGGGTGAGCTCCCAAGCCCTGTCCGATGATGTTTGGCATGCGGGTCGCGTGACATGTCTTTGGCTTTCAACCTACTCAGGTGCCCATTGTTTGGCATGGCTCGCCTGGCATGATTTCGATGCCAGTGCAGCATGTTTGCTTCAATATGGGTTCTTTTACCTGTCAGCAGTCAAATTCCTGAAATGGTAGATGAGACAGTCAAGTTGACTTCAGATTGGCAGACGTGACAATACATTTGTTCTTTAAGATTCCGCCCTACAAATGCAATGTGTCAGTCTTGGGCCGACTCCATCCCAGTTATTTTGTTTTTTGCCGCATTTGCCTAGGAGCAAAAGCTTATTTGTGAGTTCAGGCATACTCTCCTGCTCTTCCTGGCTTCAAAGAAAGCAAGGAGGAGTGCGCACCTATTCTCTTGCCAACAAGATTCACTCACTTTGCGATGCACAAAGAGGAATGGGGCGCTACATCGACACATAGTCAACATTTGGTGTGTTTTGGGTTGCCCACATTGTTTGTTCTTGAAACTTATGATCACCAGGAGCCCCTAGTAGCGTCCTTGCTCCTAGTAGTATGGCCAAGAGCCCCTAGTAGCGTCCTTGCTCCTAGTAGCGATGCCCTTTGCTCCTAGTAGCGTCCTTGCTCCTAAGCTGAGATTTGGAATTAGAAACCTATCAATCGGTCAACCAGCCCAGTCATTGAAGTTTGAAGTTTTTTGTCAGGAGGGAATAGCTGGGTGCCAGGTGCCTTTTGCCAACTTGATCAAACAATGAATGAAGTACTCGGTGTACCATGCAATGAGCTTGCGGAACACGCTTGGTTGAGATTTCAAGGTTAAGTTTCCATAACAATCTAGGAAGCAAATTAATAGTGCGAGCGCTTCTTCAAGAAAGCTGCCCTCCGCTATCAGGCGGAGGAAGCTTCCTTGAAGAAGCGTGAACTATCCTGCGTTCCAGGTAGTAGCTACTTAAGCTACTAGCTACCTAGCTATTGCCTTTTCACGGCCCTACCCCCCTCGCCCGGGGGGAAATGTACTTTGTCACGTTCTGTTTTACTTTGCTTTGGGAGGCAAGGTGCCATCAGTCCCTGGGCTGTGGTTTCTTCAGCTTCAGGAGGCCAGGTGCTCGAGAGTAGAGCCAGTGAAGAGAAACAAGCCAGTGATTGCAGCGGTGCTAGCAGAGAGGTGATGACTTTGATTATCTACATTGACATTGATGCTTACAACATGTTCAGATGAAGATGTGTGAGGGTCGGTCGAAAAGTCAATCACATGTTTAGTCATGTTTGGGAGAATGGGGCACGGACAGCCAGAATGGGTGTGTTTATGGGAGCTCGTCAATTTGAGTGTTCCTGTCGCTGAAGTAGTCTATGTCCTGAGGAACTCAGGCCGCTGTCAACTTCATCCACTCAACGCCACCTGTGTGGTGGATCCTGAGGCGGAGCTGTGTTTGGTGAAGTGCTGACAAGGCGAAATGCTCCAGACCATCACGTCAATTCTGAGGATTTCACCATGCAGGGACATCTTAACTCTTGACTGAACGCCTTCGACCCTCGGTTTGAACTACTAAAAAAGTCCGCAAGAAGCTTTGGCATCATAATTTTAGATTCAAACTCTGGTTAGCCCTCGAGTCAAAGCGATCTTATGCGGCAGGCAATTGCTGGCCCGCCACTTTGCATTGCTCGGTTTCAGGCCGAACCAATGTGAAAAACAACATACTATATAGATTACTTTCCATGTATTTTCTCAAGTGGGGGCAAGCAGGTGGACGGTTGAGCCTTGCGTTGGAGAGGTTCACCTGTCCCAGCTTTAAAAAGTGTTCACCGCTCAAGAAACATCTTTGTCCCACTTCCCAAGACACTTGCAGACAACTACAGTTGAGCGTTGCATTGGAGTGTGCATTGCATGCTGGTTTGCAGTTGTGGCCCTGCTTGGTCTCCAGAGCGGCAAAACAACAGCGAGGGATATGTGTGTATATAGATAATATACGTATGTATTTGTCCAAAGGTCCAAAGGTGCTTGCAAGCAGACACCTTTCAAAGTTTTCTTGACTGTAGGCCCGGGTAGCTTCAGTTGTCAAATCCTCAGATTCAATGTGATACTGATGCTTTCCTGGCGAGCTTGTGGTGCAGTCGCGCTGACATATTTTTGCAGATTTCACAAAAGGTGCACAAAGATGTGAAGTACAACCCCCAGCAGATTGCAAGGACTTTGGGCTACTGTCGAAGGTGCAATTGACCAACCTCCACGCCAGTCCTGACCTAAAGAAATTGAGGCTCAGCATGGTCACAGATAGTAAGTAAGAATGCTCCTAGTAGCGATGCCAAGAGCCCCTAGTACCTTGCTCCTAGTAGCAAGGCCAGGAGCGCCTAGTAGCTTCTTGTTCCTAAGAGCGATGGCCTCCAAAGTCACAGATGTGTTGCATCATTTCATTTTCAAAGGCCTCCCAAATGCTTTTGCTCAGCACTGGCATGTTCCTTCCTCAAAGGCTAGCGGACCCTCATGGCACTGAGCACTGCAAATGGATCGGACCGTAGGACTCACAAGTCTGCTGAAGGGTTATTTGTTCCTAGTAGCTTCTTGTTACTAGTGGTAAGGCCAGGAGCTACTAACTAGTAGCGTAGCGTCTTTGCTCCCAGTAGCGATGCCCTTTGCTCCTAGTAAGAAGAAAAGAAGGTAAGAAGACCCCTTCAGTGACCTTCGGTGGGCACTAGCAGTAGCAGCTCGTGCTTGACTCCCTCAGACTGCCGGACTAGCGAGTGCCAGGTTTTGGATGTGGAAGGGAAAGCAGGTGCTGTTACCCTCATGCCTGGCAGCCTTCTGGCAGAGGGCAAGGCCTGTCTTTAATCAATGTTCTTCTTGATTCCAGTGCCATGGAGAAGTGGATCTGGGTGTTTGAAATCATGTCTACAATCATCAACACATGGCCAAGTTTACATCTCTCGTGGGAAAGCCACGTGCGCCGATAAAATGTTTTCCAGGTTTTACTGCCAGCTGGCACAGCGATGGGCTGAGCACAAAAAAGCCGACAAGGTGTGTGTGTGTGTGTGTGCTCTTTGCACAGTTGCACAAGGCAGGTCTAGCATTCGGCAGACTTCCACAAATAGCTGCACTACAGTCCATATTTACTTGCATTATTCTTCTCCACAAAATGTAACAATCAATGTTGTACTCAAGGCCACTGCTATCAGGGCTGATGGGTGTAGGAGGAGCTGGTGTGCAGATGATGTGCTGATGAGATGTGGATGTGGTGAGACCAGATTTGTCATGCTTAGCAGGTGCACAAAAACGTTGACCTGATCCTTTGGTGCAACTTATGCAGTCTATTTAAGTCTATTTAGTTTGTTGGTGTCCAGTTTTGTAGCGCTACTTGCACTGGAAGGGTGTGATACTGCATCTATTTGTATTTTGCCCGCTGCTGTGTGTTTAGGACATTAATTTCTCTACCCGCTTCTTTGCCTTAAGTAGCTCCAAACACTAGATGCTGTGAAGGCTTTACTTCTGAGGGGAAGTAACACAGGGCTTGAGGGCCTTGCCTCCTCCTTCTCGAAGTTGGAAAGCCAGGCACTAACAGAAGGTGCTGCCGACGGTGTTCGCTTATAAAGAGCCAAACTGGCAATAGAGTCTTATAGAGTTTTTGTTGCCTCATATTTTTGTTGGAAAGTTGGCTGAGGCAGTGGCTGACATTGAAAAGGCTTCGGATCAGGGCAAGAACTTGGAGCTGCGGAAGGAGGTCTGAACGCCTTGTTCTTTCCAAACATCTAGGAACCAAGCAAAAAATAGCGTGAGCTATCCTGTATCCAGTAGCTAGTAGCTTACTTAAGTAGACGCCTACTCAATTAAGTGGTAGGGGGCAGAGCGGGCTAAAAAGTGAATCCTTGGTATACGGTATTCAGATAGTGTGACGCATCATCCTGGTCTTTGAAGGTCTCCAAGATTTTTCTCAGCATGGACGTGCCGTGACCTGGCGTTTGTTGGCACAGACTTCGCGGCGATATGCAGCTGTTAGCTGTTTCTGTGTTTCTGGTTTTTTGACTGAACAGGTATGAGCCTGATATTGGCTCTAGCGATGTGGAGGCCAGCATTCTGTAATTTTGGAACTTTGCAACAGCGATGGTTCGTCTCAATCGATTTTAGGCAGGATTTCCATTGAGCATGGTCATTCAAGCACAGCCTGACTGCTTTTTAGTCCGTTTCCCAGACAGCGGTTTGAACAATGTGCCGTTTTTTGGTTGAACCAAGAAAGCACGCTGTCTTGTCTGGGGTTTGGAATCATGGTGGGAAGAGAATCATAGAGTCTTAGAGATCTTAGAGGTGCACCTCAAGTTGTCGCTTGGTGGTTTTGTCGAGTTGCTGCAATAGAGGTAAATGCGAGAGTCTTTGAACATGCGAAGCAATGGGATGATCAGTCAGAGAGTTATTCCTTTCCAAAGTGGCATGTGACACCGTGGTGAACGATCAGAGAGAGGCACTCAAAGGTTGCAAGCTTCAAGAGCATGCGCTTGTCAGTCCACGTAAAAAAGAACCAATAGAGGGCCCTTGTGATGCGAGTGATGCCGCAGCGGTTGATTCTAGCATTGTTTGCGTCATCAACTGGCCATGACAGCATTTTTTGCATCATCAACTGAGCACGATGGCAGTGCTTTGGCAAATTTGTCGGTTCTAGTATGGTAGCGTATTGTGACTTACAGTGTTTGTTTTGGCTTGTGGAGTGACTTACAAAGATCCAGATGCAGAGGGTCGAAGGAAAGCTTAGTGGGTTTGTGCCCTTTTGTGTCGTGTCTGCGTAAGGCTCGGTGTCGGCGCCAAAAAAGGATGCTTCCCAAGAGCGGGCTCTAGCAAGAAGGCTCCTGACACAAAGCGGGACGCGGCAACAAAGCCTCCGTTCTTGGTTGGTGCATTTTTGCGGTGTGATCCAAGGCCATCTCGAGGTCACAAATGGACACGACTGAAAAAGTTCTAGCACCAAGTTCCCCCAGAAAAGACAAGGATGAGTTTTTCTGGGTGGCTCGAAGGCTGTCGGGGCAAAAGGGCACCTCCGAAAAGTGGGTTCTACCGATCAGACCCGGCAAACATGCGTCTATCAGCATTTTCGTTGAGACATTCCGAGCCGTTGATGTGCCCTTTTTGCGCCTTGTTTGAAGGCCGTCTCGGGCAAAAGAGGGTACCTCCGAAAAGCGGGTTCTAGCGATAGGGCATTGGACAAAGCAGGACACGGCAGATGCATTTTGGAGCATTTGAAAGGAATCTTGCTAGCGAAGTGGGTGTTGTCAAGGGGTCTGTGCCGGAGTGTTGGAGACTCTCGCATCACTAGTTCTAAGGGTGTGCAAGGGCTGGCTTTTGTCCTCTCACTTCTCAGTTAGATCGTAGTGCAGACAAGAAGACTGGACAAAGTGCAAGCGCAGTTGACCCGAGGACAACGTTCTGTTTTCCTCCGCTGAGCAGGACGGTGCGTATGAAAAGTCATGATGTGATTTCAGTTTGAGTCGCTCCGCTGTGGTTGTTGGTGCCGAGTGTAGTGGCATGCGGTCCAGACTGTAGGAATCAGCTTTGTGTGGTTGAAATAAGAAACAATGAGGGCTGCCTTTCAAGACCCCGAACCAATTTAGAATGTTTCAACCGTGTCAAGATGTGTCAACAGTGTGGCCGCACGAGCCATTCGCATTGGAAACGGCTTCAGCGTCATGTAAGCGTCATGAAGGGTGTATGCCAAGCCTGGGTTCGTTTGTGCAAGCACAGGAGAAGGTGCGGGCTGAATCTGTTGCCGCTTGCCAGAAGATGTGTGTTGAGTCTGTCCAGGACCTAGTAGTGGTGCATTTGGTTGGGTGGTCCAAGACTACGTTTACAGCATCGTGTCCTGCTGTGCATACGAGCCAAGGGGGTTTGCGAAGTCTTCAGTTTCTTCGCCAACTCCCACCAGTGTTTTTTGCAAGGCCACCAATCCATGAAAAAACGTGAGAGACACGTGTTGAAACATTTACACATGCAATTCAATGATTTGAACTTTGTGTGCTTCTGTTGTGCTTGGACTTAGCTCAATTCAGTTGACCAGGGGGAAACTTGAGGGCGGTCCACAATGAGGTGCGCCCCACAGTTTCCTTGCACGCCCCGCAGTTTCCTTGCAGCAACAATAAAGACAATGAATGATTTGAGATGCTGTTGAGGATGCTGTGTCTGGCCCTGCCAAGTGTCCTTCCATTCCCCATGCCGCTATCTTGGCTAGATGCATGCAGTTGAGTTGACAAAACATGCAAATCCGTGATATGCCTCTGATCAATTTCCGGTTCATGCGTTTGCAGCTGACAGTACAACTTGGACAACAGCATGGAAACTGTGATGAGTGCTCGACACTGCTTTCCAGTTTCCCAGTTTCGATTTATGTCATTAGGTCCGTGCCCGTGCCTGGGCTGACCAGTTGCCAGGCGACTGTTTTGTGTCAACTTGATAGCAACAAATTCAATGATGTGCAGGGAGCAGTTTCTGAATGGTATTGTTCCTCAAGCAGTGTACTGTTAGGGTTCTCTGTTAGGAAGAAGGGGTTCTGTTCATGATAGCTGTGGCCGCGCAGTGGGCCCTGTGTTCTCCACCCTGTCCTGGGCCTTGTGCAGCTTTGTCCGTTTGTCCGTGTTTTCTCCGCCTTGTCCGGGGCCTTGTCCACATTTGTCAGGGTGCCGTGGGCCTTTTCTTCACCTTCTGGTCTATGCACGCTTGGCTTTTCCTTTCTCCACTGCCTTGTCCTGAGCTTGTTTTTGGTAGCACTGGCTGCGCCAGTGATGCAATGACTTCTTGAGTTCTACAGTAAGTTTGATGTCATCCCGTTCCCCAAAAGTCGTTATTTGTTTACATGCTGGTCTCGACCAGCCGGAGGCTATAGGAATTTATGTATGTAAAGAAACATATATATATATATATTGCGATATATATATACATAATATTCCACCAAGATTGGAATTCAACGAACTGACGCCTGACGCAACAAATCCTGCCGAAACTGTTTGGGGTTTAGGCTGGTAATCCTTGTTACTACTGATACACTTAATATTGGATTCAATCACGCATGGCAAACCACACCTGGGTCCCAGTTGCAGGAGAAATTGCCGCAGAGTCCAAAGCAGCCATGGTTGACCTGGCGGACTTGTCAGATTTGCTACAAACTGCTCAACATGTGCCAACGTGCTAGTGCACTTTTTTCCTGGGGACTGGCTTGGCTATACAATGCCAGGGTAGTCCTTGGGTGCTTCTTTCGTTTGTCCGCATTGGTTTGGGAATTAAGCGAATGTTGACAGGATAGCATCGACCAAAGAACTGGAACACTTTCTTGAGACTTTGAAGGATCAGTAACGCATCGGCTCAAATTGAGGGCCGAGACTGAATAAATATAAATTGTACAGGATCATTGGAATCGAATCAGCATGCAAGAGTGTGTCCGCACACATTGAACGCACGTACACCCTGAAGAAGCAGCACCAGCTGTGCCAGGATGCAATTGAGAAAGTTCCGGCACCGTATTTGATTTTGGCGTGCCTTCTGATGCTGGTGCTGATGGTGCCTTTGATCGCAGCTTTACTAACCACAGTGGGCAGTACGCGGGCGAAAGTCAATCTCTTGGATCTCTTTAGGCTCAACATGTGTTTGGATACAGTCTTGGATAGATTCTGATAGATGTTTTTCACTTGCAGTTGACAGTGCGATTCAAACGAGGTATTTTGCATTATGCGTTGCTGTCGCTCACAGGGGAAAGGCAAGGGTTAGGCTTGTGATGGCTTCCTTGTTAGTTCATGTATTGGTCCAGGCAAGAAGCCAGCTGGGAAATGGCACAAACAGGCAAAGTGGAAGCTTGTAGCTTGTAGCAGCTTGTATTGATGTGGTTTCCAATCTGAACATAGGCTCTCTACTTGCCTATCGCTGAAGATGAGGTTGGCTTTCCATGGTTTCCTCTTGAAGTGACTTGACGCATCCTGTTTGGGCAAGGACGACCAGGGCATCTCAGCACCAGGAGCCCGAGAGGTCAGAAGCAGGAGCCCCTAGTAGCTTCTTGCTCCTAGTAGCGATGCCATTTGCCCCTACTAGCATCCTTGCTCCTTGTAGTAAGGCCAGGAGCGCCTAGTAGCTTCTTGTTACTACTAGTAAGGCACTTGTTACTAGAAGCGATGCCATTTGCCCCTAGTAGCGTCCTTGCTCCTTGTCGGCTTCGGTTCGGCTGTTCACTTTACGCCACAGCCACGATCCTTTTTGTCGCGAATTGCTTGTGGCATGAATAAGCCAAACATAGCACTTCAGCAATGCTTTGAGAGCGAGTTAGTCATTTTTTAAATCTGTTTGAGCTCCTGGACAGGACTGAGGAAGCTGGCTCTGAAGTGGTGCAAGGTCAAGAGTTGGCTGTTGAAGCAGCTCAAACCTGCATGCAAGTCAATTGTTTACTCTTGTAGTAGTGATTGCTCAAACCCCTACAATGCACAACTCTGGCCCAGCCAAACATGCCAGGTGCACAAGCCCCCTGGTCACCTCCTGATGCAGCATCCTTTGTGCGATTGATTAGCACTTGAGGAATTAAGACAGAATGCCCTCAGCACTCATGACTCATTACTTCCAAGATTATTTGTTACTGCAATTCTTTGATTGTTGCTGAAAGAGTGTGCATGTGCAAGGCCTTCGGCTTTCACGGTCCAGAAAAGCTGTCTTGGAGGCTACTGGCTGTTGTAGTGATACGAAGGGTGTTTGAGATATTAGATGCTGACGCAGAGATTGGTTCTGATGTGAGCATCATCGACCAGCGTCAGGCAGCCAGGTGCGCAGGCTCTTTGACGCAAAAAGGCAAGGTAGTGCTGGGTTTGCAGTTCTCTTGATCTTCACTAGTCTGCTTTATTTGCTTCGAACTTGTGCTTTTGTGGTCCTTTTTGCCTCAGAGGCTTCCAATGAATCCTTGTCGAATGGTTGTTTGGAAGTGCCTTGAGGCGTTGAACCTACGTGCAAGCCATGACTGCCAATGCATCGGCTTTCGGCCATAAAAATTGAGAGTCGAATTAAAGTAAGGCTAAAGGTTCAGACATCAGTTGGGTATATTTGTTTCCGGCACTTGCAGAATGTCCAGCTTCCTAGACAGGATCACAGGTTTGTATCAGATCCAAATGCGCGAAGAGGAAGTCTAGTCACGCTCTACAATGATTTTGTAGCCCTTCTTTGATTTTGGACTATTTGCAGTTCAACTGCACTGCAGTGGCTTTAAGTTGCGCATCGCTGCATCATCATATTCTGCTGCCTAAAGTCAACTTGACTCACAAACAGGCATTTTCCTTCTAACAAGATCCTGGCCACACCTTTCAACAGCAGGCAGCACCTTTAACCACCATCCTGACTGAAACTACAAAACGGAATCTTGGGTGCAACGAGCTCCAAGAAACAATCATTGGTCTATCAATACCATGCTAGATAGATCCCTATGAGAGCTTGCCGCAACTCATTTATCCTTTTCCTGCGGTCTCGCACGTGGGGAAGTGTTGCCATTCACATTTGTAGAAGCAAAGATCTTTCTCGGTTGGAGGCCATAAATTGCTAGTAACTCAAAAAAGAAATAATCTATAATTGTTTACTTTGTACTACTGCAGTCTTCTCGTCTTCGGATGTCAACATGGCGACCGACTTGTTTCCAATGCGAAGCTCACCCAGAGTGGACTCGCCAAGAGCAGACTTGCCGCGCTTGTTGGCTCCTGAGCCATTTTATTTCAAGGCGGGGTGCAGGCTTTAAAAGAAGCTTTCTGCATAAGCCAACCGTGAAAGAACATGCGAACGTGGAAGTGCCCGATTTGAACGTGCCCCATGATGACCTTAATTAAGTCTTAAGTCTGAAGGTTGGTTGGATGATTTTGACCTACAAGACTTGTCAAAGCTGTTCGCAGGGATCCTTGTGCGCACCAACGCGCTCTGATGAGCGGTACATCCTGCGTTCGATTTTGCAGGACCGCTTTGGCTTTTAGAGTGACTGGCATCCGGAAGAATTGCAAACTCATTAATGGGAACAAGGAAACGAGGTCTTTTGTCTTCTTTCTTCCTGGCAAATCGAACCAAGCTGGCCCGGTTCAAGATGTTGCTGTGCATGTTTTTCAGGCCATGGTGCGGCAAGCAGCGTGGGATGCTGAGGCGGAGGATGCCAAGGCTGCACATGCTCTCATTTTGTGTTAGAAGGTTGTGGTGTTTCCACTGAACTTGAAAGAATTACGCTGCCAGAATCCTGTTCTGCATACTTTGCTTACTGAAAGCGTGGAGGGTTTGGACGAACGCGCGTTGTGCAGGCCATGATTGGACCTGGTGCTGGCGGATGTGGTGTGGCTGCACTTTTCAGAGTCTTAGATCCTCTTGGAAAGGCGATCCTTGTGGTGTGACTGTAGCGTTGAGTGAAGGTCCACCGTGTTCACAAGGAGCAAGGTGACGTCGCTTAGAGGTATATATATATATAAATGGTAAGCAGCACAGCACTTGTTCACAAATTCTCAGTGATCATCCTTATTGAGTATTTTCAGCCCTGGAGGGGTGGGGAGACCTTGAACTGGGCTGACTTGCGGTTTTTGAGAGATTTTGAGAGCAGGGCTACGTGCTCGACACTGACCTGTTGCAGCTAATGAAGGACTGGACTTGTGTTGTGCGAGCTGACAGAAATTTGCTCCAGTCTTTGATAAATTTGATATCTTATTGCAACTCTGCAAGATGTACCGTTTTGATATGAGGAGCATGAGGCAAAAGTGCCATTTGCCAACCTGTGCTCCATTGTCCAAGAAGCAGAGCTTCGGAGAGGAGGCTCAAGCCTTCCATCTCGTGTGTCAGCTTAAGCACCCGCGAACCGGTTCGCTCCAGAGACTTTGATGGTCCTGCAATCCGATTCCTTTCGAACTGCGAAGAGGCAGAGCCTTGGGCTTGATGACGTTTCGGGATTTCGGCAAGATGATCTTCCCCCTTGCCTCCAAGGCGCCAGCTTGCCAGTGCTTGGTGCCTTTCTTGGGCTTCACATACTTATCTTATCTTACGTTCGACAAAATGTCCGACTTGCTGCACTCGTTGCGAGGAACACAAAGCCATGTGTGATGCTGTCTCTGATGACGATGCTAAATCCGTGTTGTACCTCTTGCATTTCTCAGAGCCTTGTCCACAATGTGCCTGGGCAAGTGAGAGCAGAGAAGTGGTTGCAGACTTTGCATTGAACTTGTGCATGCAGTGGCCGGCCCATGTCCGCTCTGAAGGGCAGTGTTCTTTGGTGTTCTTTTCAAGATCTGAAACCAAGGTGGTTTCAGAATCCAACGAGACTCTGATTCTGCCGGATGTCCGAACGTGGTTTGCAGCCACTGCCAGACAGCTTTCAGGTTCAGACGCTGGTATATCGGGTGTGAGTCTGCTGTGCACATCTTTAGGAAGTTGTACTCCAAGGCACAGCTGTTTGTTTTCGAATTGGTTTACATGCTGTTAACAAACTATTCCAGTGCAGGAGTCAAGACCAGTAGCAGAGCAAAGCACCAGTTGCAAAAGCTAGAATGATAGAGAAGTAGCTGCCTGCAGGGGCAAGGACTGATATAGTACCATAGACCAGGACAAAGAGTCTGGGAAAGGATATGCAAGAGAGTGACAAAGCTGAATTGCTGCATCCCACTACACTTTCCTGGAATCGTTTCTTGAAATGGGCTTTTCTGGAAATATTGAACCCAAACAAAGGGCTTGCACCACGCAGAGGTTTGAGTTACTGGTTGCGAAATCAAGCCCTTTTTTATATCCTTCATGGTAATCACACATGTATATAGAAATGTCACTTTCACATGGTACAATGAAGGACTCAACCTTGGATGGAAACAAAGTCTATTGGCTACCGACATGTTTTGAATTGATATTGGTGTAGCGTAGCTCCTGTTAGAATTTCACATCTAAGAAGATTGTTTGCGATGCTGAACATGCAATCCGAACCGTCATCCGCTATTCTGCACGTAGCATTTGTCTTTTTGACGACTCTTCATGCCGTTCCACCACTACAGTAGGCAGCTCTCCTTTATCCGTAATTATTTTTGAGACAAGTCCATTTGGCCATTCGTCATGTGTCCCTGCAGGTGCTTTGTGGTTGGGAGGCCGGCACTGATATTGAGCCAAGCTTTTGTCAATGAACCTAATCATTCAATGTGTCATTCTATTCATTACTGGTACTCCATCATATTCCATGCCATTTGGCTACTTTTGCTCAAGTTCTTTTGTACGAAAGGTTGACAACTTGTGGAAATCGTGGCGTTCAGAACGCACAGATATTGTTTAGAAGAGAGACATCAACTTGAGTGTTTGGAGGTCATCCTTGGAGGGTCCAGCTGCCACAGCAGCTGACCGCTTCACACTCTGCCGGCTGGTCAGTGCAGTGGCTCGCTCTGTGCGCAGCTCAGCCTTACATGCTTACCTTGTTGGAAGCAAAGGGACGTGGAGTCCAAGAAGGCAAAGCTGTTCTCTTTTGTCAAGGATGCTGGAATTCACACAAAAATGCCTCCCAAGATTTGTTCAGAAGCCTGAAACAATGACTGGGCAACATTTGGCATGCACTCTCTCGTGCTGCATTCTTTCTAATTTCATGCCACTGCCTATGTCACTTTAGTGGTTCGTGGGTTTGAGCAAGCCCTCAGCGGACGGCAGCGGACGGTTGCATACGGTATGGAGGCAGAGAACCTCCAGATGGACCGCAAAAGACTTGCCAAAGATGCTGGCTTTGATCAAGCATGCCTCCGAGAAGTTTTCAGAAGCTCGGCACAGAGAAGTACCAGGTAGGAGAGGTAAAGGAATGATTTATCAAAGTCGTTTCATGCGGGTGAGCTTTCTTCTTCCTTCAGCGCCCAAATCTTCCTTGCTTGGCAAGTGCTCGACCATGGTACTGTACACTGAATCGCCGAATGTAATATACACCAATCTGAACTTTTGATGTCAGCCTTAGCCACTCCATAAGAGCAAGAGCTGGATGTGAGGAAACAACACAAGTTTGACAAAGCAGCTTGTAGTTTTTGTCTCAACACGTGCTGTTCACACAGACAACTTACTGTAAGTTTCGCTAAAAATATGGGAACCAATGAATAGTGCGAGCACTTGGTTGAAGAAGAGTGAGCTATCCTGTGTCCTGTTGGTAATAGCGTTCTCGTAGCTACTAACTATTTCTCCCTTAACTTGATTAAGTAGGCACCTGCCTACTTAACTACAGGAAGTAGGGAGGGGGGGGTAGGCGGAAAAAAAGACATAACGGTGTAGCCTCACAGGATTTTTGTGTTGCCGTTGCTCGACCTGTTTCAGACTACATCTCCACTGGGCACCCCAGCTTCGACACCATGGACTTGCGCCAGGCCAAATTCCACACCTTGGACGATTCAATTCTATCAATTTCAACGCAAGGATTGCTTGTCATAGGAGCAAGGACACTACTAGGGGCTCCTGGCATCGCTACTAGGAGCAAGGACGTTACTAGGGGCTCCTGGCATCGCTACTAGGAGCAAGGACGTTACTAGGGGCTCCTGGGATCGCTACTAGGAGCAAGGATGCTAGTAGGGGCTCCTGGCATCGGTACTAGGAGCAAGGACGCTACTAGGGGCTCCTGGCATCGCTACTGGGAGCAAGGATGCTACTAGGGGCTCCTGGCATTGCTACTAGGAGCAAGCACGCTACTTCTTTCTTTGGTGTCATCTCCAAGTCGGTTGGAGCTATGGGGCATACGTGAGTATTTGCTCACGGAGGTCCAGGGTCTATGACCGCCTCACACCATCTCAACTGCAAAATTCAGACCGTCAGGTCTGGGGGGAACCTCAACATGTGACCGCATGGTTAACAAGACTATGCCATCAGTGGGCAGCAGTCATCAGCTGCCGGGCTCAGGTAGGCCATCAGCAGCGGGTGGGGCTGCAGCCGTCCGCAGCCATCATCAGTGTTCAGGAGCGAGGTCAGGCCCAAGGTGCAACCACGCGCCTAGCCCGCTAGGAGTTGCTTCATCGAGTCCTGCCGTAAACCCTTCCCTGGTCAATTGGTGTTCCAAATATCGAGCCATGGCGCTTGAGTTCAAGTTCATGGAACATCTTGGCCAGGGTGAACTTACCGCTCAATTAGGCCTTTGCCATGACTTGCCATCTTGTTTTTTGGAAGATAACTTGTTGAAAAAGGTGATTGA